GAGTAAGTCAGCAGCATTTCCAATGTGGTTTTCACTTCCCTCGGCTATCAACCAGCCCTTGCAAAGCGAAAGTAGTGTTCTGCCTTCAGTCTGCCAGTCGATTCCATTGCTAACTTCGGAGCGCAACACACGGTATTCGATTTCAGACATAGAAAGAGGTAGTTAATGACACCTTAGAGGTGCAGATGGCATTTCAGGAACAGAATTGCGAAAGCATGGGCGCTTTCCACGCGATAAGAATCTCATGTTCAAAATTTCCGCTGAATAGAACGCGTCCGACCGCATCCCAGAATTTGAGGTCACGTGCTCTGCAACACAAAGCATAGCTGGTTGGACCTTCATACATAGTTTGATGCTACTCTGGTTTGCAGATTTAATGAATGTAACCGAAGAAGTTACAATCCATAGACCCAACGTTTCGACACTCCTGTCCAGTGCCGTCGTCAGGGGTGATCTAAACGCTGCAACAAGAGGTCATTTTATATGATCACTAATTAGCGGCCTCTTTTTTCTGACGAGGTGTAAATAGGCGTCAGGAAGCAAACCGCCATCGTCACGATTTAAAGGAGCGTGGGCGGGCTTTTTAAACGTGTAAGCGGTGTCAGAACCGGCTTGAGGTACGCCCGAGGAACACTAGTAACGAGTTTCCGAGTCGGGTGATTATCGGAAATCGTCGGCTTATGCAATATGGCGGACTATTCTAGTACCGTAATTTCCGGCCGTTTACCCGCACGGCCGATTACCCGCACCGGCCGATTATTGCATACGGCGAAAAAAAAAAAGTCAACAGAGTACCTGCACTGGTGGATAATCCGCACGTTATGTTATTAAACTTTTTGGTGGAGAAAACGTGACATTAAGTGACATTTCAGTCTTTTAAAAGTTGTCTGATCTAACTTTCGAAAACTTGAAAGCTTCTTTGTCGAGTTTAAAGGTCAAAGAAATTCAGACGCGTGCACAATTCTGTGTCAATATTAGCATGTACTTTATTGATGAAATTATACAGTAAAAACACTAGCGGCCCATGCCCAAATCTCAACGTTTCATACTTGACAGAATTCGAATTTGTGGCCACATTTTGTGCGAGCAATCGTTCAGTGCCATGTTCATTTGTTGAAAGAAGCTGGGTGAGTGTTAAAACTTGAATTATAAAGCACTGTCGGCGATTTCTGAAAAAAAAAAGATGTCTCCGGTTCTATTGGGTCTAACAAGTCCTTTAAAACGGGAAAATTCTCTTTAGCTCAAGCTAGTGTTAAATGGAGATTTTTTTATTGATGCGCGGGATATCTTTGGATTATTTTTGTCACCATCAAGGTTTTGTTTTCACGCGTACCGATAACAATTTGTTCGTCACGCAACCAATTTTGCGTGAAATAGACTTGAGTGGGCATCATGTTTTCGTGCCGCTTTGTGGCACTCTTAATACAGTAAAATTCATTTGAGAGGTGGAAACGCATGCAGGTGAGAATTTTTTTCAATTCAACTACCAGTAGATTTTAAAATTGTCACATAGCCCGCACCTCCCTATTGCCCGCAGTGGCGCGCGTTTAATGCAAAATCAACAGATTACCCGCGGGTAAACGGCCGGAAGTTACTGTAACACCATTTAAGCCGCCAGCCAGCGGGGCAGCTTAAGTATATGAAGTAAGCTTGAAATCATTAACATTAGATTAATTTCAAGTTAATAAATTTTAAACTATGGCCAGCTTGATTTTTATTTTCTTCAGTTGTGGATCTATTTCAATACAAATAAAACCAGTTTTTGATGAATTTGACTTGAAATTCATTTTAAACTTGAACATGTCAACTAGATTTACTGAAGCTTGTCATAAATGATTGAGGGTATATGGAAATCATATATGTGAACTGCGGTCAAAGACGTGAATGTGAAAGCGATCTTTGCAGTAATGAACACTACTTGAACAGTCGTGAAAATAAATTAAGCCTGAAAAGAGCTCAGTTGGCATAGCACTGCACCAGTATCACAGAGGTAATGGGTTCAAATCCTGTACAGGCCTGAATTTTTTTTCAGGCTTTATTTTCACTACCGCTCAAGTAAATAAGCTGTGGTATGTACACAACGCATGACTCAATAGCGGTGGATCAAAAGCATTAATTGGCGATATTTTCAGTTACAATTATGGCCTTAAGTGTTTAGGTGCCAGTTTCACATTCCCATGATAAAAATAAAAAAAACGCTACAGCCCAGCACAAAATTTTTGACATTATATTAGTCAGTCAAAAAACCGCTAAAAATAATTTGTATGATCTGGTGAAAACTCCATCAATCAGTTACATTTACTAATACAACAACCTTCAATCCCTCCCTGCGTACTGATAGTTCGTCCTCCACACCTCCCTTAGTAACAACAATCTGCCTACCACCCCTCCCTAAGTACTGTAATGATAGACTGCATCCCTCCTTAAGTACTGATGGTTTGGCTTCCCCTAATAAAATGGTCCATAAATTGGTCCAAAAAATGGTCCAAAACATAGCCGGTCCAATGGTCCAGTCCACATTTTACCCAATCCAAATTTTTGTCGGCAATTTAAGCTCAGTTTTCAATTATTTCCATTAAAGTTGAAGTCAATCTCAGAAAATAGACCATACAGATGGAAAATGTTGAATGAGCTTTCTGCTTAAAAAATTGCAAATAGCATGCTCTGTTATTTTGTCTCAGAATACCAAGGGCAGAATGATAATTTTCAAACACTGAATTAAAATTGAATTGAAAAGGTAATTCTTCGATAGAAAGCCTTACTTTACCCACAAAATTCGAAATCTAAGAATGCTTTTTATTTTTTTTTAATGAGCTTGCTTAGCTTAATATAGTTTTATTGGAGGTGCACAAATTAATTTTTTCCTGAGAAAAGGTGTATGAATCATCATGAATTATCGCTTTTTAATTTTCCTCTCAAATAAATAAGATTAATGAAGTGATTCACGGTTTTTGGTTTTTGGTTTTTTTTAACGTTTGCTCTTGATATGTTCTCTTATCAATTCATCATTCTGCAGTAACTTTTCCAAGGCATAAACATTGTTCTTCGTGAAATTGGTGTTGGATAAGACCAAGTACACAATAGAAGGCGCAGTGGCCTAGTAAGTAGTGTGCTGGATTCCAAATCAAGTTGTCTGCCTTCGTCAGCTCTGCTTGGGTGACTGTATTGTGTTGTAAGGCAAGACACTTCAATCTCACAAATTCTCTTTCCACCAAGGAGTATAAACTGATATCGGTGAACATTTAGGGAAATCTAACAAAATGCTTGAGGTAACAGCCGTGATGGACCACAATCTCATCCCAAGGGGAAAGGCAACATTCCCATTCACTGCATTGATAAGGGAACTATTGGAGGTGATGGAAGTGAGAGGTACCTGGCTTGTAAGACTTTAACCCTAAATTAATCTCTACAATTCATCAAAAAGGAATCTACCACCTTGTTGATGGAATTAGAAATAAGGATAAGCTTCTTCCTTTCACATCTTAGAACATACAGACATGGTATCCAACATGGCCTCTAAAGTAGCTCAAAATAGTGTTGATATTTTTAAACACCAATTTGTTGATGGACTGATGAAACCCCTAGTTTAATTAGACTAAATACAAAACTGGATGACTGCAAACAAAACTTCTTTATTAAATGGTTTTATTTAACATGAAAATATAGGCTAATGAAGCTAAGAATGCAATAACAATTTGATTGTTGTCTGGGATGGTGTGATAACATTCTTGAGATCCTCTTTTAGGTAAACTTGCATATGGCCCCTAGAGTAGTAAACAGCAGGGTCAGTATCAACAACTGTTCAGAAACATTTTTTTAGCTAGTGTAACGTATGGATTTGATTTCTGTTCATAGCAAGTCACTCCATGTTTTGAACTTTATGAATGATATATGAAGAAATAGGAAATAACTACTGTGTACTTGTGGATTCACCCTTAATTAAGCACTACATAGGAATTTTTATTTAATTAACTACCACATAGGAATTAAGTACAGTGTACTTGTGGATGCACCTTAGACTAACCTATCTACGACCCCCAAAAAACAAACAAGTGACACAAAACCCTTTTAACTTATGAAATAGCATAAAGTTAGCTTTTTGTAGCTTTCATAAAGAATGTATGTGTCTGAGTCAATTTTCAATAAAAAGATTTTAATTAAAGCATTTACATACTTCCTCTAAGGAGGCCTACCCACTCAATAGCCTGCTCGATCCCAGAAGTGACTAAGATGTGCATGTAAAATCTCTTAACAATATATTTATGCATAATTTTCAGATTTAACTTAACTTGTCAACTCTGCAATTTATCCTGAAGCATAGGTTAAACTGTTTAGAAAAAAACCTTTGATGCCTGAGTTCAATCACAATTCTGTGCTTTAATCATTTTTTTTTTACATCTATCAGATGCCATGCATGCTGTGATTGTCAATTTACTAGGTTTAACTGTGACCAACACCATTAAGAATTCTCAGATCTTTTCTCACAAATCTTTCATTTATTACAAAAGCTTTTAACTTTTGTGAGGAAATAAAAGTCTAAATCATTAATTTTCCTGGCTACTTAACTTGCTAAACCTGAACAAAAATTTCAAATTGACCCCACTTGCTCTTGATGTGAGTTATTCATTTACAGCTGTCTCTCATGACCAAAAATTGTTCCCCAATCCTGCCATGCATAGCAAGTATATCTTGCTGACTTTGTCTTCTCTATTTTACACAATCAATCCCCTATGAGGCAGTGAGGGGAAGAAGGGGGGGGGGGGGGGGGGGAGGGAAAGAGAAACAAACAGTCTGATCCCTGGACCATGAACATAGGGTTAGTAAGGGGTATGCATTCACCAGAAATAGGCACAATTGATAATGGTAATAGGACCAAGTGGAGTCTAATTCGATCTGTAATCATATGAGTGATTAACAAAATTGGACGACTGCAAAGCAGGGGTCTGATTTGTTTATCACTATTATGATTACAGACAGAATTGGACAACAAGAAAACCTGTTACCAATTAATCATAACCATTTCAATTTCCGAAAAAACAAATACACCTAGAACAAATACCTCCCATGGAGACCATGTCTTTTGTTAAAAATTCCTCCATTTTGGAAATTGCCTTGTTTTTTTTTAGATAAATGGTTGTTGCTATGGTTATTGTGATCAATTCTGTGATTGGTGGAGTTAGCTGACTGGACCTAGTATGATTGGCTGCTTCAACTGTCCAATTACAACCAACTGTCCGATTACACTGACTACAACTGTTCAGAATGATTAGTGAAAAATGAAGCAACTTATGCACCAATCACATTTGAGGAAATTGTAATGGTTATGACTATATATATAACTGACACAACAGGCTGATACCTGGTTAGTATATCTAGCAGTAACTTTAAAAAAATGTGACACTCACAGCATTTTCATTCTCAAGAAAACTCTGCATGTGAAGAATGACACTAGGACTCAGACAAAGCCCAGGAACATAGAGAGAAATCTGTTAAGTTTAGACATGCCAACAGCATTTGATTTATCCAGGATAATGAAGCCTAATCCACCCATTAAAAACAAAAAACTTGATGCCATGCCTTCCATGATGTACTGGCCGTTTACATGGTAGGACATGAAAGCAACCTGGGAAGGAAAAGGAACACAAGAAATTGCTTTATACAACCATGAGTGTTTATGATAATTAAGCTTACTTAACATTAAAAACAGAAAAAAGGAAACAAAAAATTTCTTATTGTTTTACAAGTCATTTGGTTTCTGAAGCATGAAAATGTTTTGCAGGCCTCTGGGAATAACCACAGTGGTCAAGCATCTGTGCATGTGTGAATGTAGCAATGATTAGGTGGTCTGCTTTCAGCACGTCAGAACCAAGTAGTCTCACAAAAGTTACAAATAACTGCACAAGCCAGAAGTCAGGGTGTTTCAGAAATCTATACCTTTTTGGAAAAAGCTCAAAACAGAATGGTAAATCCACAGGATGCTCATACTTGAGTAAGCTTAATTTGTGTTTAAAACTGTTCCTTTTCCCTACTTCTGTTTTCTTTAACATATTTCTGGGAATGATTCAATTTTCTTTTGCTTATTTTGCAAGAATGAGAAATTTTGTGCAGAAAATTGGTCCACAGGTGCCTAAAAAATTAATCCCCTTACACATGTCTTATGTTTGACAGAAGTGTTCAGGGCATGTACTAACCCATTTACTGTGACCAAACTCATCTATTGTGCTTCCCACATTGGGTGGTTCTACAATCACATCATAGATGATACCTGGGAGACATATATATATATATATATATATATATATATATATATATATATATATATATATATATATATATATCAAAGAAAACAATTAAGCATTTATTCTTAAATGAACTGTAAATCATTTCTCATTATAATGCATTTCAAGAATTACAAAATACAATCCCAATTGACTGAGATAAATTGGGCAAACATCATTATCTTTGTGCTGTAACTTCACATAATTTGTTACAGCAGCAATAGGTAGTTAGGTAGAGTTTGTATTTGAGCTGTGGTCCATCCAGTCCATGGGCTTATAATCCTGGTCTCCTCACATGAAGCAACTAGGAGTATTACTACTGACCTCCCTGGACCAGATACCAGTCCATCCCCCTGGCATTTCATCAGGCTTCCCTGACTAATATCTGATATCAATTTATACTCCTGGGTGGAGACTGGGCACTGTGAGAGAGAAGTGTTTTGCACAAGAACAAAACACATTGACCTGGCCAGGTTACAAATGCAGACCTCTTGATACTGAGTCCAACACAGGCCAGGTTACAAATGCAGACCTCTTGACCCTGAGTCCAGCACAGGCCAGGTTACAAATGCAGACCCCTAAACCCTGAGTCCACCTCACTAATCATAAGGCCACCATGTCTCCACAAGAGGGAAGAGTTTATGCTGAATCCTTTCTCATAAGCAACAAATTTTACAAAACCAAAGTAAAATTCTCTTATTTGATTTTTAAAGGGGATTACCGGTCAAAACTTATAAAATATGTGTTTATCAATTTCCTCCAGTGAAACCAATGCTCATATTCGTATAGATGGATGTTAGTTCAACTGGACACTTACTGCAGGGAAACAGTGAAATATAGACACCAAGGCATGCTAATGTATGTTGAAATGGATTTCAATTTGGTACAGGTGCTGATGTTTGGGGTTTACTAGTATATGTATATTTAACTAATTGTTTTTATATTCATTTCATTTTTACATTGTTTTGTGCACAAAACTGATTTATCTTTGGTGCTACCTTTAATCTTCCTGAAAATCAAGACTGGTTCTTTTTCAGGTTAAACAGGAGCTCGATTCGAGTTCTAGTATAGCTTGATATTTTTGGCATAATAACTACCAGAGTGCTACGAGATCAATGAATGAATGAGAGAATTGTATACGAAGCATTGTTATACCATGCGTAGCCATGGTTGCGAACAGTTCACGTCACGCTTCCTCGCGCGGAGTCTCGCTTACATATTAAGAATTTCAAGTGATGTTATATGAAAAAGTTAATCATAAGAAATAACGCTCAGTTCAAGTTCCTCTTGCCTGGGGTGTTTGCGAGGTCGTTTGTACTGAGACTCGAACACCTGGCTGTTCGGATCACATCAACAATCAAACATTCATTGAGGTTTCAACAGGAAGGTGCGATAGAATAGTTACTTAAGTGGATGGGATTGATTTCGAATTTTTTCTGCAATGCATTACAACAATACATGGACTACACTTCGCTGTAATAAGTAGAGCGAATTTTCTCTCGAGATATCGCACCAAACTTTCGAGAAGAGCGAACTTTCCCTCTTGAGTTCGCAACTCACGAGCGTTCACAGCGAAATATCGTTCGTAATTTCGGCGTACTAAAACAATAGGTGCCTCAAAAGTTCGCGGAGAGTTCGAGGAAATTTCGCTGCGAACGAAATTTTTCAAGGAAATCCAACAAGGAAACCAGTATAGCAGTAAAGTTTGGAAGGAGAATCTGAGCAGTCTATCAAAAAGGAGAAATTGCTTTCAAAATATAAAATAATAAACATAAACATATGAAATAAATACGGAAGCAAATCAAGTTAATACATAAGCCCGAGATGAAAGCTTGTGCAAAAAACGATTCTGTCACGAAGCGCCTCCCTTCCGACGAGTTCTCATCACGCGGTCTAGCTCTCTGTCGAGTCACGCACTCGTTCAAAAAAATAAATTCTGAAGCAGGTATTTATTTTACGAAACTCTTTTAAACTCATAATTGCCATTATTTTTCACACTTTCTTTGTGGAACTTAATTGTTTCTTGCTTAATGTGAGTTGAGTTATATTCTGGTTGAAAAGGTGTTGTATTCCTTTATCTTCATCATCATCATCATTATCATCATCACCGTCATTGTGTTCCAAAATACGAACGGTAAATCCAAAATCAGCCATTTTGAATAAAATATCTTTTATTTTCAAAATGGAAGTCGGTGAAAAAAATCAACCCAAATCTTGAAAAAAAAGACGTCAAAGGCTCACAAGGCTGACCGCGCAGTTCACAGAGTAACATTTCACCCTAATAGGGCATCTCCAGGTGAAGTCCTTAGGGTCCCAGCTTGGTGGCGGAGTTGTCATTGTGCTAGGATCTCATTCACTCATCTTTGACTCGGCAGTTAGTGGTCACGCAAACAATGTCTATCGTGAACAATGTCGCAAGAGCTCTTTTTGACAAGTTGAGTATGAAATTCGCGGGAGAAATCGCGCAGGACACTGATGGTTATGATCTATTCAAGCTCTGTGAAGACCTCTTCTTGACTGAGAATGAGAGGACGAGCATGTTCAGAGAAGGTATTCAGTCTGATGATCTTTCGAAGATCAGATGCTATGCGGAAGATATGAAGAAATCTGGAGATGTAAAGGAGAATAAGTTTATTGATGCCTATCAGAACAAATGTAGGATTCTATTGAATCATAAGATTCTGAAAGATCATGGAGTCTTCTTGACCTATTTATGAGATAACTTCTCATTTACAAAGACACAATTTCGATAGAAGAACGAATGAAGGCACGTCACGACTTCTTTGCGAGAAGATACAACGTTAATATTTGAAAATCTTCAAACGAACAATTAACACCCCGATGGCGTGAAAAGAGGATCGTTCAAGTTGATATTATTCACATCCTCTTCAGAACTCACGAGTGAGACATTCTGAAGAGGGTGTGAAGATTATTCACAAGTGAATAATTTAAATTGTCTTCAATCAAGGTTGTCTCCAAAATGTGCAAGAACTGTTTTTTGAAATCAAGGTTGATTTCAAGGTTAAATTCATGAGTTGCTTTAAAAATCAAGGTGGATATTAAAATGCGCCAGAATCCCCATTTTTATCCTACTCAATGCGAAAACGGAAAAATGGAACCCATTTTTTAATTTTTATAATGGTACATGTTTTTGGTTAATCTTTCTAGGACTAGGTTATATACAAAGTTAAAAATTTTATTTGATTCTAATGCTAGTTTCCCTTTAGTTTGAGTTCACATATTTGATTTACTCAATCAGTTGATAATTGATTCCTAGGAAGTGACTCAAACTAAGGTTTGAAGTTCACCAAGAATAAGATTTATTCATGTTGTCTCTTTAGTTACATTATCATTACATGTATTATGGCACTTGAAGTTGAATTATACTTGACGAATGAGGAAACTCCTCTTACAGTTTTGAGTTAAGTTAAGTCCTTACTTCTTTTCAAAACAGCGAGATAGTGACTAAACATATCTGACACTCCACTACCTCACTCATTGAGCAAAAGGAAACTAAAATACTTATGCTGAAATTTTTCTTTGCATTCAGTATTGAGTTCTTCATCTAACTCAAAATAATATTCTGATCATAATGAAAAGTCATGGCACAGCAGTCAAGAGCTGCATTCAAATGTACATTAGGGTGGTCTCAACCTCTGAATTAAAGTCAGTTGAGACAAGATTTAACATCATCTACCTTGGAGTGATGAATTCCCTTTTTTATTGTAGCACAGCTAACATACCTAACTTCTCATAATTGCCTTGAGGAAAGTTAGATTTGACTGAATGGCTGCTTCTGCATCCTTTATTGAATCCTGGTTTTTATTATTTATTTATTTTTTTTACGTAAATACTGTTACTTTTCTAACATAGTTTTGTCAATTCCTCAACATTTTAAGGTAAGTTTTAAACTAACGCGGAACGGCAGTTCTCTGCAACGAAGTATTCAAATTAAACTTAGCAATCATCGGTAGTTGTAGCAGACTTTCACAACACCAGAAATCAAAGAAGATCCTCAAAAGAGTTAATTTAAGCTCAAAATAAAGGCATTTATCCGTTGTATAAAGATCCTACACAACCTGGTTAAGTCACCCTATCGGGTAAACGGACGCGACTTTTGACTGTTCTAGAAGCTTTTCAAAAGCCGTTCACTGCACTGTGGGTTCTGGGAGTGCCAACGTGCGGCATTCTTTGACGTGAGGGTTTGTTACTCTAGTACCGACTCGTACCGGAACATGGAACCTCTGGTCTATCGAATACATGAGAACAAGAAGAAGCGCCAGTATTCTAGAAGAGTACTTGATGTGGAACAGGAAACATTTACCCCGCTAGTTTTTACGACAACGGGTGGGGTGGGGAAATAATGCCCTAGGTTTCATTGTAGATTGGCAGGGCTCATTGCCTCAAAGAAAGAAGAGCAATATTCCTCAGCCATCTCCTGGGTAAGAGCTCAAGTTTCGTTTGCGCTTTTGCGATCTGCTCTTGTCTGTTAAAGAAGCTAAGATTAACAAATCCATACAACAGGACAGCAGCAAACTTTCAGAGCAGTTTGGGGTATGATATATATATACACAGATATATATTTATAATAAAGCTCTGAAAATTGCATATCTAAATTACATATTGGTCTGAATATCTCAATTAAGTTAAAAGAAATTGTAATCGACGGATTTGTGATATTTTTCGGCCTTCATGGGCCGTTTGAAGCGTCTTTTTACGAAATTACTTTTGGCCGGAGGCCGTTAGGAGAAGAAAGGAGCCCGCTCGTAGGGAAATAAATTGAAATGTTGGTGAGAATGAGATGCAAGGAGTGGTGCATCATGGGATATATAGATTTTTCTCATTTTTGTTTTTGGGGGACACATGACGCAGCTTCGTCGATAAAACTTCTGCGTTTTAATCTTTTACCTATTTTTACTCTTTACTCTATTTTTAGTTGCAAGGCGATCGAAACCTCAATTTCAATGGAAAATTTCCTAAATAATTCATTTGAACTGTCAATAAACACTAAAAATTTGTTGTTCAGTCGGTGATGACCATGGTATCGATAAAACACAGCGTTAGAGATACACATCCCATCGAGTAAGCATTGAAAAACCTAGTTGTATAAATTGTTCAACTGAACTAGAGCAGTAAATGCAACTATGCTCACCAGCCGAAATACGTGCACCTTTCAAACTCAATTTGTTTGTTTTCTATAACGTTTAAAGACGTTCGCCTTAAATGGTCTATATTTCAAGTGTATTTTTTTTCTGTTTCTTTTTCATGTCAATAGGTCACCATTGTGTCTTTGGAGCCCAAATTTTTTGCAGGAAAAATTCTTCCCCAGATTTAACATTCAAACATTAATATATATCATTTGAAAAATGAGAAAGAAAAAAGAGCATTTTCTGAGTAACTGAGAACAATTATTTACAAGTTTACAAAAAGGATCAGTAGCTGTTTATATTTGCTGACATTATTTTTACTGTCTAAATCACCTCTGAGCTGACGAGGTTCAGAATAATTTTCACATTTGTGAGAAAGCGGGTTGGTTATCGTATAAATATAAATGAGTTTTCCAAATGAAAAACACTCAAATATAGCGCGTAAAATTTCGCAAGTGCGACTGATGTTTATGAATTGTTGGTGACTATTGTTCTCTAAAGAATTTGCAGACTTATCATAACGTGTTTAATGTCCTTTAAAAGGCGCCACCTGTTCTTCGTCTATTTCCTATTGTATAAAAAGTTAAGTTATCTTAACTAGTGCAGTACTAAAACATGTCGCTAAAAACTGAGCTCCGGTTTTAAAGAAGAACCCGAGAAATGAATACAATCAACAGTTTAAAAGACAGTGAAAAAGTTTTCTCGGGCCTTTTCGTGCGCAAACGCGAAAGCACCAGCGCTGCTGCATATTTTGCCTGTTTTCTTTCCAACAGTATGAACACGTCCGTCGCCGTTCAAAACCGTGTGGCAATACGGAGAACGATAGACAGTAAAAGAGACACAATCGAAGAGATGACGCACTTTTGTTAAGGGAGCGGGGGCTTGAAACATGGAATGTTAGTACACTGTTAGCTGCACACATTATCAACTTGGTGCGCGGGTCAAAACAAGTATTGAAGTCCTCATAGGATCTGCTTTCTTTACATCTTACGTGCATCGTAAGAATACGGAGACAGACAATGTAAATCAACGCAGTTTTTGTATTTTATACACTGTATATTTCTCTTACACAAAGAAGTAA